TGTTAAAAAATGATGTTGACATCCCGTTATTTGAGGTTTCCAGGGGAAAATTACCTAATTTTGTCTAAAAGAATTGACGGTTACAAAATTTTTCTAAGATAAGCATGGTAAGGCCTAAGTTAGAAGCAGATCTAGCTGAGCATATAAATTAAAGATAAAATGTATAAAATGAGAATGCTGAGTCTGTGTACTACTCTAATCTACTTCTTCTAAACACAGACACATATAGTCAGGAGTGAAGCAGGAATAGCCTTGAAGTCTAGGATAGTTCCACCTGCATGTTTTCTGCTGGGCAGGTATTTTAATCAGCTGCTTGACCACAGACCCTAACCGAGTTTCTGCCTTACAAAAAATCTCAGAGCAATGACAGGCAGCAAAGAGGAATTTGCTGTGCAAACATCCGCTGATAATGCCTGACTTTGATTGAAGCAGCTTCTATTCTGTGAGCTAACACGTCCACAGATTATTTCAAGGCAAAGACCTGCAAAACTCCTGAAAGCTTTTATGTCTCTAGGCCTATTTTTCCAATAAGCTTATGACAAGAGTTTCTTGAGACCGCAGTGGTAATCACAGCAATGTCAAAATTGACATATGGGTCTTGATTAACCTACACCGAGGTCCCTTGCAAGGATTCCTTGGTCACAAAGAATGCAGCATGTGCTGGCACTACAGAGTGCTGTGGAATCTGCATCTGTAATCAGGGCTAGAGGTGAGATTAATTCCTATCAACAAGCTGTGGTGACAACTTCTGAGATCTTTCTTCTTACTGCCACAATGTTAGGCAGTCATTGGTTAGAAGTCCTGGTTCCCAAGGAGGATCATGCCTACTGGGGGCACAGTGTGCTCCCTTGAATCTGAGACCTGGTCTGAAGCCCCTCAATTGGGGTCCTCATGACTGTGGACCAGTCAACAGAGAAAGGCACTTTCCCACTGATGCGCATTAACTCTGCTTTAAGGCTGAGCTTGGGTGTATCCATGGAGGCAGGGGCAGTCCCTGAGGCCTAGGCAGTGTCTGTGGGTTTCTCCATTGCATTACCACTGGGGAGGACAATTGCAAAACCACATGCCTGAGGTTGGCCATGTGACCAAGGACAATGGCTCTGCAGTGCTCAGGCCGGAGGCACTCCATCAGGGAACACACAGCAACCCTCACTGCAACGTGCTGGGCGTGAGTGAGAAGAATCTACTGTGGAGGTGGGAGGGGACACTAGTGAATGTCCATTATGACCACAGGGCCACCTGCAGCAGTGGACAGTGGCCCTGACCACTCACACTTACATTGTGACTTCCACAGAGATTAGGGCTCGCTACTGTGCCAAGCATGTGGCAGCCCCATAGACTGAACCTGGGCCTGTGTGGACCTGCCTGGCAAGAGGGAAATGTAAGGACAAACTTCAATGGATTCCTGCTTGGCCCGACTCTTGTTCCCTGGGCCCAACGCAGAGGA